TGCTGCTCTAAGTGCCGCGGGCCTACCCGCGCTACTTGAGTGTTTTCCCCGCTGCAACCCTCAAAGTCACGGCCACAGGTAAGTACCGGCCCTGCTGGGCCTTTCAACCAACAAGTACCCTTGCGGGTCACACACACACTCAGCCAACAAGCACTCAGACAGGCATGCAAACCAGCAGGCACGCACACACACAAACATGGAAACCACAGCAGAATGCGGGAATCTCAGCAAGGCATTCATTCCAGCGGCAAATCCCAAAAATCAGCAGTGTTCTCAGTCTGTGTTTTTGGCGGGTCATTACACAACCAAAAAAAGCAAGTCTCCACAGAGTTGTGACCCTCTGTTCCTTGACCAAAGTAGAGTTGGTCACACGCTTGGGGAAATATCCTGCATATTCACATATGCAAATTCAAGAAGATGACACCGATTATTCTTATCAAATTTTGCAATTTAAGCCTTTACGTAATTCTGCCTCACTTATTCACATTCAAAAGCGAGTGCCCTACCTTTGGGTCGTTCCCTTCTTATTGACTAATCCCCATACAAAACAACAATGGGCATGATTATGACATTTCCTTCCATCATCACACTGTTTTTTGGCGGTGTTATGATCCTGGCCAATTTCGAAGTACGCATTCGTCGGAAAGTACATTGTTGTCCAATTGCAAAAAGAAATCAATGAACTTGAGAGGAGAGAGAGGGTAAGGAGAAAAAGAAAAAGAAAGAACGAAGAAGAAGATGATGTACACCGACATAGACCAATGATAATGCTCTTCTTCTTCGCCAACCACTCTCCTCCTCCTTATCTTCTCCCCTCTGTATTCAAACAAGAATAATAATAACAATGTTGAATGACTGACCAGAATCTTTGTCCAATTCCATCTTCTACTGCAGGTATCACTTGAGGTCCACCATAGCCATGGCCGCCCCTTTCTCTTCTCTCTCTCATAGGCCGAGGCTATGGCGGACTGCCAGGGCCTCGCCCTGCTGTCCAAAGGACAACACAAAGCAGCTATGGCTACTCTCGCGCAGGCCGCCATGCGCGACTCTGCCTCGAAGCTTCTTGGTCTTCCCCAACGGGGCCTTCCTGCTGCAGCGCCCACCAAGGTGATGAAGAAGGCAACCACCATAGCCAGGTTAGTACCTCTGGCGCTCCCCTTCCTAGTCCTGGTCTTTTTCCTCCTCTGTGTCCTTGCTCCTTCCCCAGCAGCGCAGCTTATGCTAGCTTTACTCTAGCCAGTGTTCCAACTAGTGTGTAGCCAAACTTGCACATCGACAACGAGAACTCAGTAACAAACGGGAAACTCAGCAAGGCATTCATTCCACAAGTAAAACTCAGAAATCAGTTGTGCGTCTCAGTCCGTGTTTGGTCAGGTCATTACATTACCTCGGTCTTAAGAGCGAGGTCCCTTCGAGCAAGTAACTCATTCTAAGTCCCCGACAAACGCATCGTAAGCAAACACAGCAAAGAGATTTCGGGAGTACTCAGTAGCAGAGAGTTTTGCCAAGATTTTAGGTAGAGCATTAGAGACTACTTGTCGCTCATAGGCTTTAACAACGCGAGGTGCGCTGTGCAACAGTTCCTTCTTGGAGATCCAATAGAGATCGTCCAACGGGTGATACAAAAAATGAATTTGGTACCGCCTATTACGTCCCTTTCCTACGTGTTGTTTGATCTCATGACCGCCCTTGATTGCACGGGGAATCATGTCTTCACTATAATCGAAGGACTCTGCATCACTATGTATATACAATTTTGATGCATGAAAGATGGGTATATGCGCAAATGAGGAGGCACAACAATTGTGTATGATGGACTGAACTCATCTTTGCCAATCATGTCTAGAACTTCCCATGGACCATAATAGAGCGGAAGAAGCTTGTGTGACACTCCCTCTTCTTCTGAAAATTCAGACATCTTGACCCATACATAACTTTCCACTTTAATATTTGAAGGTTCACATAATGGATCATTCCGCGTTGTCACTTGGTCATTGTTGCAACAAGAACTTTGAGCAAGCGATCATACGTAGCACTGAAGCCAGACGTACCGAGTGTTAAACCATCTGGCTGTTCAGGAAATAAGTAGGAGAACGAATTACGAATCTGCCAACCGAAATGCAGTCTGTTCGGCGTCATGCCAGTGGAAGAATGAATGGAGTTGTTGTACAACTGCTTGATCGAGTACAACTCGTCATCCCACGTTTCCGGATCCGGAATGATTAAAGCACGGAGAAGTTGGAACACCGTCTGGTTGATGTCCTCAACCAACCGTTGGATTCGGGATGTCAGCCAGA